CGCACTGAAAATCGTTTTTTACGAAATAATCTTGACTCGCATTGTACGTCATTGACGATGAACGAATTACGTGTATACAATATTATCGTGACCTGCACTGGTCGGATGTTTCTATGTACAATCATCGACACTTTTGTGTGCAAACGCGTGACAAGGGCGTGGTACATGTTTGCCTAGGTACTTTTTTGTTTTAGTTGGAATAAAATATAAATACTATGCCTAAAGGTGGCGGCGGCGGTGGTTATATAGACGGGAAACTCTCAAGAGCAAATGTTAAATCGCAGACGGTGTCCATAAACATAACGTAATATTTACATCCAACCGTGCTGCCGTGCATATGGCTCTGATTACAATATGTCAACGATTGGTTGGCAAGCGTTTAATTTTAGAATCTGAGAGAAGCTATGGATGTATTGATTTTACAACGATGTGTGTTTATTTTTTCGAGCCTGATTCACTTTTGAGTTTTGATAGAGGAAAAATGCTTTGATTTTCAATTTCAATACCTTATGTGGTAGAAAAGTGAATATAGTTGGTCAAAAGTAAAAAACGCACAATACATTTCATAATAATTGGAAAAACAAAAAGGAAATAAGGAAAAGAGAGAATTTCAACCCAAAACCAGTATTTGGCCAAATCGATTTTCATATTAAGAACGAATAACCGTAGATACTGATTTCTTCGTGGCACAAGGATATAATTTAATCACTGATCTGTTAACATATCTATTATTTTAAGGTGTCACACTAGTACAATATGTCTATACATCTCGGGCCTGCGTATACTTTTAGCTCTAATTACCGAAGTGAGTAATACGAGTATAATGCAATAAATAATGTATCATTGTTAATCAATATTTATTTTATGAACTCAACACCTTCATCGCAACCAATTGCTTATTTTGTATAAATTTAAAATGTGTACATTTGTTATTATGCTATTTTGCAAAATTCAATCGAATAAAGAATAGATACAAAAATATAAAATGTTGTATCTACAGTGAATGCTTGTGAAAAGTATCTACCAAAGTATAGACATTTGCACGTACGTTTCCTCCCCCTCCCACCCACCCACCCACAAATAAATTGAAACGTGTGTTGGAAATTTATTGTGTAGTGTCGCTCTTGTTAAACGCTACTACCGAACTGCAGAACAATGCGCAGACACGCAGAGCGCTACGAACGAGCGTTTTTCCGTTTCCGTTTTCGGGAGTTTTTTTTTCGTCGACCGGAAGTTCGTTTTTATTGCGCGATGTGTTCCGCGGGCGAGTAGGATCGCCGTGCGGCTAATGACCGTACTCGCGATGACGACAATTCCATTTGCTGAACCGGTCGCTGGGTTGTACATGGCTTCGAATATTGTAATACTATTTTATTTCGAGAGTGCGCGACATTTATACAAAGGCTTGAAAATTATTTTTGCAAATATAATATTTACAAACTACGGACTCTAGTATTTAAAATAAAATCCAGAGGTATAAATGTATGAGGCCGATTTCGTCGGACCATATTCTTATAATACTCTAGCGCATTTTTAAATGCTCTGCCCCGTAAAACTTCAATACGACAAAACGGGCTTGTTATCGCTTCCGAGAGCGCGGTGGAATTCTTTATTTCTTTGAAGAAACAAATTAAATGTTTAATATCCCCCGCACGACGGTACGTAGAATTACCGCGGGACACGAAGATACGCATGTAAATATAATATTATTATACTTATTTCGAAGAATATTATGTTGTTTGTGCGTTTTTATGTAATAGCAGACTGCGGCAGTGATGACCTTATCGCACGTTAATGAATAATTCCGACTGTTTTAACACTATACTGCGATGATGTACAAAAAATAAAAATATGTTATGCGTTCTGATTTTATGATGATAAATGATAAAAATGTTTTTACAAAAATGATATTTTGTGTACACCAAATGTACATATTGTATAATATTGTATATGCGTCTGTTTGAGACGTCGCCATTAAAATACGGTATACGCAGATTGTCTATGTGACAATAAAAACGCTCTGTACATAATATTCACGATTATCTGGTATAAATATCTGTCACGCTGTAATATTTCGGAATCGATAAAAGGTCTTGGAGATTCTTTATTCGACCTAACCACCGAAGAAACTCACCCATCCCACACTATCCTGTATTATTTTATTGTAATACCGCAGTATAGAATTTATAATGTAGGTATAACAGCTATGATATCATATCATTTACAGAAAATCCATCGGTTCAGAGACGAATGGAAAGAATTGAAAACAGTAGAAAAACAATCGATAAACATAATATTACAATATTATGATTTATGATGTTCGTCCAATAGTGTCGATTGACCCATTTTCACACAACGATGGTTTTTAAAGTAAATATGTGGTATAAGTGTAATATTTATTATCATAATAGTTTATTTTAAACTATTTGTTTAGCCGAGCTCTTATTAAATCGTTTTAGCGTATGTTTGCATTGCAATAGACGCATTCATTACAATATACACAATATTGTTCTACATGTAGTAATGTACACGCTTGTTCATTACTTCATTAGTCACCCAACGAAATGTTATACATTTCGGTAATTGGCGTGCTTGAAAAATAATCGATTTAATTCGGCAATCGCGTTACGTTATTTTTTCAACACACCCGTTGCGAATATACCAATAGGTCTATCGTGGTGGACCGTAGTTGCGAATTACAGCAGTCTGTATTATGTTATGTGTTGGTTTCGCCAATAACGCGTATTGTTGTATATGGATCATATTATCATATCGTAACTTAAAGTGTTTTAAATATTCATAAAAAATCCGTGTAAACTAATTATTAGAAATTGATTTTAATTCAACGCATCATCACTACGCCTTGTAGTTGGTAGTTATATACATTGTGCAGTGTGCCTGTAGTATTATAGTATGGAAATATGAATCAATTTATTTTATTGTACCATTTTTTATACTAAACAACAATTGCATAAATAAAAAAAGGTTAGGTCAAAAATGTGTTAAGGAACTATTTAAAAACTATTTTGGTCGAACATTCAGCAAATTAACAGCAGAATAAAATTAGAGAATTTACAGTCTGTAAAATTGAAAACAGTCAGTACCCTTGAGGTTTCCATAAGAAATAAAAAATAACCTATTTGAGCTGTTTGACGTGATGTCCAGCGACATATTGCTTCAACGTATTGAGTAATGGTTAATTTAAATTTATTTTTTTTTAAGTTTAAGAATATAAAATTATTACAGTTCAACAGTTACAAGTAAAATAACAAAACAATTATTTTTATTAGGTTCAACCTGACTTATTGTTCTTTAAAATAAATTTGGAGATTATTAATGGAAATGGTTTTATCTATAGCTATCTAGGTCAAAATAACTTTTACAGGTGTCATCTGCAAATGTGGCAGTATTATTTATTTATATATACGTGAGGTTGTAACGGGGTATGTACATTTGTACCTGTAAACTGAATTTTTCACTACTAGCATATGTATAGAACGCGTGTTGTAAAAATTTAAAAAAATGTTAACGCTTTAATCGAAAATAATTAGTGATCTACATTTTTAAAAGAACAAAAGAAAAATAATGAACATGGACAGTACTATTTTCTTGAAAAAAACCGACTTGTTGTTTTAATGACAAATGAATGGGTAACCTAACCTATTCAGGCTACCTATTCAGCACCTACCTACCCACTACCGGAAATCGAAAATAATAATACAAAGCGATAAACCGTGGAGATTAAAAACCGCGAGAAAGTGAAAATCGCGGTTCCCGAGAAATACTGCCCGTACCTACTAAAACAGCAATACAGATCGAAACCGATTAAAAAATCAAAACTAAAATATTTCGACAAACTAGGTGGGTGAGCACAATAGAAGCTTATTACATACTATTGTTATTAATGTATAATTATATGTTATTAAAAGGCGTATTGGTGTGTACGGAAACGTAAAAATCGAGTTCGTTGACCAAAACTCGAGGCAAAACAGTAATCATCGTTCGTCCGGCGCAGGTTAAGCCTCGTTTACTTAGTTGTGCAATATTAATGAGTAGTATACTTCAGCTCGGCGGCTGGTATCTCTCTGACCGAAAATCGATGTAATTTATGACGATGAGTCGAATAACTGTCGTTCGGAATCGAGACCGACTTTTCGGGAGTCGGTCGCACATGAAGTTGGACTTGGATAAATTCGCTCAGGAAAAAAAGTAGTGCCGGTGGAGTGGACGGCGGAGGTGGTGTGTGCTGTCGTAGTGTCGCCGTGACAACAATAACAACAACAACAACAACAACAACAACGACAACGACAATGGAAGTAAAATAAAAAAATAATCACGTCGCAGACCCGCCGTGTAGAGCCGGCGCGCACGTACACGGCAACTGCACACGTCGCCGATAATAATAATAATAATAATAATATAATAAAATTAAATACAAAATACGCTACGCTCCGCGACTGCAGCGCTGCCCTGCGACGGCCGACCGTAACCGCACGCGAGCCAGGTACCTGTTCTCCCGGCGGCGCACTCGATAGTCAGTTCAGTTTTCACACTCGAATCGTCTGTTCGTCAGTCGCTGTTCGTGCAGTCGCGTCGCCCGGAGGATAATATTATCCAGATTTATCTCGCGGCAACGCACGTACGCGATAATTTTTTGGTTTTTCGTTTCGAACGACAACACGGTGTGCGAGTTTTTCCAGCGAATTTTCCGCGTCGATACTGTGCGTCCGGAAACCGAAACGTTTTTTTTTTTAATAATAATTTTTTTTTTTTTTGTAAAATTACTATATTTTATCGATACTCGTAATAAAATTATTTCTCGTCGTCGTCACTACTGTTGGCATCCCGGCCTTTTTTTTTCCGATGATCATGACGTCGTCAACGTCGTCTTCTGCCTTCTGAACGGAAACGCCGCGAGTGCACACAAGTGTCAGGCCCGACGCCGCGACCCGATCCAACTGCGACCGGTGTGGTCAGGTGTGATTTAGCCTAACCGAAAGATGACCGCTTGCGCGTTTTTGGCGGCGGTGCTCGCGTGCACCGCCGCGGTCGCGTTGGCCGGCGGTTCGCCCGTCTTCCAGTCCGGAGCTTACGACAACGTGGTGGTCGCCATCAAGGATTCCGTTCCGGTGGCAAACTGCAAGCAGATCGTCAACAACGTCGAGGTAAGTGTCGGATCTGCACAGTCCTCCGATTATAATGTACCTAGTGTTCGAATTTCGTATAGCTTAAGTTTTTTTTGTTTTGTTTTTCTCCGAAAGACCGATGAGAAATGGTTTTTTTTTCCGATGGTGATTGTAGTGATAGATAGGTTTTTTTATCGTCGTAATAGAATAAACGGAGAAAATTGTTCGTGTTTACTCCGTAGGTACACAATACGATAATCTTATTAAGATATATATAGGTAGTCTCGTAAAAATAATTTTACCGGCCGCCCGTGATTCGGGCGGCATACGTGCAATTATTATTATTTATTTCCGTTTACGGCGATTCCGTCGAGCAATTTATCGAATCACTTTACCGTGGTCCCGGGTAATTTCTTATAATATACGCACGTTTTTATCGTCTATTGTGTTGTCGGCGGCCGTGCACTATAATGCATAATACGTCAATGCGTAGGAAGAGAACGTCGAATAGGAAAAATATCAATCGGACCTTTAATAAAAATAATAATAAAAAAAACTGTAGTAGGTACTCGTTTAATATTTCAAACCACCAAACTCGTCTCCATGAATAGGTCGACGACGACCACGGCGCACTATATATAATATACATATCGATGAAATAGATATAAATATTATACGTTATTATTATTATGTGCACCGGTTGACCGACCGACCTCCTCCGCCGGTGGCAGCGGTCCGGCCTTCCGTTTTGGTCTGATTTCGACGTTAAACGCGGCCGTGCCGGCTCTCTCGGAAAATTATAATAATTTATACGCGTTGTTTGCGCGACAATCGGACCGCGTATACCTACTTGCAGGCACCGCCACCGTGTCGAGAACGGTCGTTTTCGTTTGTAAACGTACATTTTAAATAGATAAATAATAGTTTTAATAACAATACGTGGAGTTTCGTTATTATCATTATCATATAAGGTATTATTATTGTTTTCGAAATCGGATATTATCTTCATCTCGCCGGCGATACGTTTTCACGGTCGCCTCGGCCAGTAGTGCGTCCTCACACGCGGTAATAACGCGAAAACCGAGAATTTTCATTCGCTTTCACTATTTCGCGGCGGTGACATGAACGCCACAACCGTCGTCGGTCGCGCACTGCGTCGGTTGCCCGCGAAAACATCTTATTGTCGGTCAAACCGCGGACCGGCCTGTAAAATTTACATCAATCGCACACAATCGCGAATCGTGTTAAAAATCATAATATTATTTGCCCTCGGAATTTACTTACTTTTATTCGAGTCCGGTCGACCAAGTCACGCGCAGTTACCTACCAATATATACCGTATAGATAAGCGGCCGCGTTATAAAAAAGTACACGCATTATTTATAATATTATATTATTGTCATTAAGCTACGTGCGCCCGGTGAAATATAGCGCGCGAGATCGGTTTTTTCCTTTCCGCATTATTATTATTACTATAATTTCGTTTGTGCGCCGTGTCGTCTTGTCAAAACCCGTGTATATCATACGGGTCGTCGGTCGAAACTGGTTTAAATAGGCATACCATTATGCTATAAATATTACCGACCGAAATCTGTGGAAATTAAGACAGCGGGGCAGTCTCTCTGCTGCACCGGTGCAGGAGTATAATATAGAATAGAATATAATTCATCGCCGTCGTGTGCGACGCGATGGTCGGCCAAAACATGAGGAGATCCCGTTTACTTTTCATACACTGTGCAATGTGCACACACGCGCACGATTCGATGATACGATTGTCGATTAATAATTGTCAATCCGGTCGGTATAATAAATTATCATAATTCAATGTAGAGCGCCGAATTCCGAGGCGGCGCGTGCTGTGCAAAAAAAAATCGACTTTGAATACGGTTTTATGAACGCAGTATAAAATATAATATATATACAAATGTTCGTATCGATTAAATGTAAATACTAAAGACCATAATAAATACTAAGTAGTTTAATCTGGACTGGCCGAAACCCGCGAATGTATTGCGCGTAGATGTCATCGAAAACACTGATTTAAACGCCTTGCAGCGCGCGTAACGGAATGACCGCGAGGACTAATCGGATACCCGTAATTATCAATAACGCTGTGCGTAAAAAAAAAGTGAAACAAAAAAAAATTATAGACGCTTATAATGTACCTGCTAAAGATTATTTATTGAACTTGAACCCGAGACCATTAAACAGCGTGCTTATAAAATAATCACGGATATAATTGGTTCGATCGGATACTATATAAAATATAATATTATAACGTTGGCTGGCGGTGTGTAATCAGTAATCACTGTAAACATCATCGACCGAACCTGTTAACCGGTTTCCGATGATGATAGCAATGAGGTTACAGCGGACCCGTGGAATATAACGGATTTCCTAAAGTCTCGCCACCGTATATTATAAGGCTGGGTTAAATACGCGTTTTTCACTATTATGATTATATATACCTCTGATTATATTCGTACGTAGCGCAAGTAACAAGTAGTGTAAGTTCACGGGAATTTTCGACATTTCCCAACGCATCATTAATTTTCCTCGCAGTAGTTTGATGACACTTCGTATCATAGGAACAAGTTTGAAATTCCGTCTTGCGTGTGTCACATATTCGAATAATCGACCAATTTATTCTGCAAAAATATACAGGAGAATATCGCAGAATACAGTCAATGGAATTTGTTATATAGTTATCAATACAGAGGACGGCGCAATAATATATCAGCAATTTCCGAAGTCATTTCTGATTTGTCGAATTGCATAGTTTTGTGTTATGTTTTAGACGCATCACCGCCGTAATCTGGCAAAAAATAAAATATTCTAATTTGGTCGTTTTCGGGCCGACGCCGACGACGGTATGCTCTAAAAACTACGTTTCTCCGAGTTTATATAGGCACGCGAATAACGGAGGTAGAAATTCAAATCGAGGAATGGAAGAGAAAATCCGAAATTGGTGAAAAAATGCAATAGTGCCTACCTACGTACGTATTTACGGAATCATCGAATTCGAGGCGATTGATTATCGTACGTTGTCCATAAACAATAATAATGTATTTTTACAATAATAATACGCGTACGGGGAGTAGATGGCGGACGGGTGGCGGTGGCGGTTCCCTCGTTGTCACCGAGGTGAACACCGGTAGCTGCGGCCGGCCCGGGTCCCGCCCCGCGCCGCGCTAATTGTTGTTGCCGCGCGGCTGGCCGGACACCTCGCGCAGCGCCGCGACGAAAAACACGACCACGAAAAAAACCGGTCCGGCGCGTCGACGATCGCCGCCCGTGGAATTCGTTCGTTCGATACGCCGCCGGACGATTTTCTCGGTCGTGGGGCGCAGGTCGTCACTATTATATTATTACCATTATCCCATTACTGCGCTAGGATTTCGACGCATTTACATTTTTGTGTGTGTTCTCAATCACCGGCGGAAATCCATTCCGAACAGGAATTATTCAAAACAATCGACCGACGGAGGTTAAACAGTACTAGTGCTCTTGCTGCAGCAGTCTCTCGTCTGTGTCTCTTTTAATAATAATAATAATAATGTATCGATCGTCATCTGGGCGCAGTGTCACGCCGCGAAGGCCGCCACCTCCTTTCCAAATGAATTGACGTCGAGCGGACGTCGGCGCGAATGATCGACGACGATGACGATACGACCTCAGTTGTTCGTGTCGATCCTTTGGCGGGCGAGTTCCTAAATACACATAAAATATTATTATTTTCTCCCGGTCGACTTCGACCGACCGTTACGACTGCGCTCGCGACCTTGGGCCATTTATATAAAGAATTGTGATGTGCACTTTCCTACAGGAAAAACGAAACGTAAAAAGCTTAACCGGCCGACTAATGCGATATAATTACCGAGTCCGCGGCGCTGGGACTTTTAAACCGTATTTAAGCGGTCCTCTTCGTCTCTCCTCTCGCGCTCTGGACCCCGTGAATCCATCATTAGACACTCGAATCGCCGTCGCACACTCAACGATTAATCGGAGAGAAGAGGCATCGACGAAGACGACGCCGTCTGGACCTACGTATTTATAATTATTAATCAAACGGCGTCCTCTCACGGTCGCCCTGCTTCTTTCCGTTCGTTCTTTAAGCGCTCGCTCGCAACTGACAGATTTCTTTCAAACACTGTTCGAGTACGAAACGCACACGGACAATGACGATATAACGATAGTACTTGCGTTTATATCTCCACTATAATATGTGGTTGTATATAGTTATTATATTTTGAATACAGCGCGCTCGGCCTTTTTTCGTATATAATATACTCTAAAAATGATAAATGACCGCATCACAACGACGCGGTTTAATAACGAGAGAGGTGCACCATACGCACTTGACACGCGGACGACCTTAAACCACCGCGATCGCTGAGCGTACGCTATGTAACATGCAGTTAATTATCCCCGAGTATATAATATAATATTGTATGCAGGTTGCGCGCACCGAGAGTGCATGATGGTACATAACGTTTTGTTTTGTATTTTCCTCCGACGTACGTCGTTTATACCGGTCCGGTTACTATAGTATATGTGTATGTAATATAATATACATCAATTATATAATAATATGTAATAGTCTATAAAAAACTTATATTATACGGTATAATATTATATATAGCTAATACGAATGCGTTCCTACATGTACGCAGTCGCGTGCACACGCCGGATTCGCGGAAAACTGTCGTCGGTGGTCGCGGCGCCACACGCCGATAAACGGCGGGCTTATATCGAATCGTACAGGTACGGCGCTGCATTCTTCGTCTGTTCGACGCCGACGCTGCCGCCGTTGTCTTGTGTGACGCGCTCGGAATAAATAATACGAGCAAAAGGGCTGCTGGCGAACGCGATTGAAATCTTGTTCGAATTATCATTATTATTGCTCGCGATGGTGTTTATGGCAGGAGATCATCCTCGGCTCCTCTCCTCCCTCGCAGTAACAAGGTCGACGTAGTTTGTGTGGATCCTTCGAGGTGCCGCCGAAAACTGGTAGCCTATATAGACAATAATATATTATA